ATGAAAAAAAAAAAAAAAAAAAAAAAAAAAAAAAAAGTTTTTAACCTTAATATAGGGATAGAAGAACAAAATTCAAGAATTAGACAAGAGTTTAAATTTAGAGAAACGTTTGTCCCCACTAATTGCCTGCCCTATATAACGTGCCAAAGAGAACTATAAAAAATTTTCTTCCTTCGCAAAGAAGACAGTGTGGACAGGAACGAGGCAGAACCGATATAACAGCAATTCTGAATCCAAATTGGAAGGTTCACTAGTCATCACGTTTCAAACGTGAAATAGGATTGCATGAAGCTAGACATTCCGTCACAAACACTAAAACAAACAAACAACGTTTGAACGAACAACAAAAGGAAATCCCGAATTAAATAAAAACCTCCGCTTTGTCCATGCGTGGGAAGAACTAATTAGTCCCTACACTTCAAAATCAAATCAGACACAAAATAAGAAAAAGGAAAGGAGGAAATTCCCAATCCTTCAATCTGAACCACTCGGAGAGGGGTAGCAACCTCTTCCGTAGCAGCAACCTGCAGAAAAGACCTAGCCATCGCTGCAGCACCACAAACGCATTCATAAACAGCGAAACGAAACCCACAACCACACTTAAAAATCAAAATTCAAATGCAAGAACGATGAGCAAGAGAAGAAAGAGAGAGATTGTACGTACTAATAGCCATAATTAGGGATTTTCAAAAGCTCGAGAAAGAATGAAGAAAGAACAGAGGCCTGGATCGAATCGCAGAAGCAGCTACGGACGTCTTTCAGAGGTGCAAAAGCGGGAGAGTTTGTGAATAAACCCTACCAGCGGCGGCACAGTCCGGCGATGGGCAGGTGGAGCAACGACTCCAATAATGGGCCGAGTATTTGTTCAAATCTTCAAGTTAAGGGCCCAAACAAAAACAAAAATTGTCTTAAAAAAAAATAAACTATTTTAATAATTTTAAAAAAAAATTGGAAACTAAAAAATAAATAAATAAATAAATAAATAGTTTCTCCCCATGAATTTTTAATGTTTTTTAGACGTGCTACTATTTATTTAACAATATCTTTAATAAAATTTGAAAAAATAAATATTTGAGATACTAAATTTATAATTTTAAAAGTTCAGAGACTAAATTTATAATTTTAAAAGTTCAGAGACTAAATTTATAATTTTAAAAGTTTAGATATCAAATAAATATAAAAGTTGGGAACTCATTTGTAATTTAGTTTAAGATCGACTAT